GGAAGGGTAGTGCATTGTTGTTTTCTTCCTCTCTGGTGAATGTTATTCCTTTGAAGATGTTGTTGATGGTTTCATGTGTCTTTGGTCTCATCTACATACCGGATCCATACTTTAGGTTGTATTTGTGGAAGTGCTATAGCTTCTAGGTGTTGCATTACAATCTCTGCTATGAGTCCTGACAGTGGTGATCCCATGGGTGTGCCTCTGATTTGTTGGTATATTTGTCCATTGTGGATGGCATTTTCTTTTGGCCCAACGCTTTTGGGATAAATGTCATTGCTCATCAAACTGCCAGTCCCCTTCTTTGCTCCCTACTCCACCCCCATATTCATCCATTTACTGCATCTCAATCTCAACATAGTCACCCTGTGGTGTGCTTATTGGCATGGCCATTGAGCTGGGCTATTTCTATTCTCTCAATCTCTTCTCATCATTCTAATTTTCCTAAGAAACAAACCATAATCTCTCACCACATCTTGACAGACCCCTATTATTCCTTGACACCTGCTCACTAACATCCTGGGGACAGAGGCTTAGCCTCCACTTGCTTCCCACTACAAGCAGGAGCCCTCAATCTACTGTCCTGACTCCCACCAGAAACAGTGATAGCCAAAATAAAGATCCAAATTTCAGTCCTAGTCAATCTCTGGGGGAGGGGTAATGATAACCCAGCCTCTGGAGACCCGGGTATCACTAGAGCCATCCAGCTCAGACCCAAATACATTAAGACTTTTAAAGCCAAGTTGCAATGCCTCTTTCCAACTCACAGCTGGACTTCCCAGCCCATTCTACCTCTACAGCTACTGGACCCTTCACCCGCCAGGATCACCGCCTCAACAAGCAGGATGCTAGCAACTTTCACTCCTCCAATGAGTTTGGCAGGGCCAAGTCTGAGATCCAGGTTGCTGTTTTAAAGCTCTGGCAGGGTAATGTCATTGTCAGTGTCTCAACAGTAAATAAAGCAAATACATAAAGCCTGATTTCCTTCCACAGTACTCACCAATATTCATAGGGGAGACAACATAGTGAAAATTCTCATCCAACGTACCTGACCTCCACAGATCTTTGCCGGTTCGGCTCTCCTGCAGACCATTCTTCCACATAACAGGACCATCTTCTCAATAATGTTAGCACCCATATCTACCATGTCAGCACAGGCAGCCATGAGTCCGCTGCCTTTCTCATCTCCCACATTCATCACCAGATTTGTTCTGCCATCAACCCAGCTGCTGCCAATACTAAGTACTAACTAAGGAAGGGCTCCACCAGGTATCAATATAGTTCCACTGTTCTTTCTCACTGACAAATAATGTTCTTCTCACTCTCATCACCATCTCTCCATTCCTTCCTGCAATCTAGCAATTCAGTCACATACTCAGTCCAGAAAACTCAGCAATATTGAAGCCCCAACTGTAGTCTGCACCTGGGCCTCACAAATCGGCTGGTTGGTCCTAGTATACTCAAATTTCATCCACTATCCTGAAATACCAGCAGCCAAAATACATCCACAGTTGTAATTCCTAACAGGAAAGCTGTTCACTTAATGTCATCTGCTTAAAGCTTCAACCGCTACTCTACATAGGTCTCCTCAATCACCAGCCTTAACTTTCACGTATTTTTCCAACCAGCCTCTTTCTAGCAGAAGGATTTGCTTCTTCTTTGCTCCTGAGCTATGCCCCCTCAGGCACCACATATTCTTTCACCAACTAACGGATTCCAACTATTGCCTTGAAGTTACTCTTTCATAGCACATGTACCTATGATAAGCAGAACTATTTCTGCTTATCACAGATACATTTCTGGCCTATTTAATTATTTCATACATTCATACAGATGTTAGTACATATTGGATATAAAAACTATAAAGCAGAAAACAAAGCAGCAATAACAAATTAACATTATTGATTCAATCTGTGATCCAACAAAATGTTAAATCTCATTTAATCTTTCTTTAAAGGAAGTTGACTGGACCCACATGACTGCAAAATTCATACACCTATTTCACTCATGAGGGCTATAGGAAAATGTGAAGAGGCAGCAACTCTTTCCAGGTTTCTTGTGCTATAGAGCTGGCTGGAAGTCCAACACAACTGGAGGGTGTTATGTTGGGGAAGGCCATCTTAAGGAATCATAAAACACACTGATGTTCATATTATGAAGTAGTCTTTCTGATGCCATATATTAACAAAAAATAGATAGGAAAGTGTTGCTTAGCTAAATGTGGGCTCATTAGTCTGAACCACTTGGCAACTTTAGCATGTTGGCTGGGGAATTCTGGGAGTTGAAGTCCATACATTTTAATGTTGCCAAGTTTGAAAACACTGGTCTAAACTCAAAAGATTTAAAGGAAACCATTAAACATGACACTTGCATTACTGAAAAAGGTGAGAGTTTTTTAAGTGTTCAGAATAACAATATATTTTAAATGTGCTTTTTGTTATTTAAGAATATATTTAACCAACATGGTTTTTTCCCCAAACCTTTCTGTTGTAAAAATATACAATCAAATGTTACCAGAGCAATAATCTGAAAGGCATGGAAGTTATGATTATATGTGTACGAGAAGAGAGCACTGGACATGTCTGTTTCTACCTTTCAGTTAGCTAGATTAATCACACATTACAAGAAATGGGTTTTTAATTAGCTTTCATCTGCTTTGTACATGGAGGAGATCACGTTTGAAGATGGCTAAAAACAATAATGGGCACTGTGACAATAAATAGCATGCTGGGAGGGAAATTGTTTCAGTATTCAAGGAGGATTAACTAACATCATGGAACAAAATAGAGGAAATAAAAATGAAATTAAATATGTGGTTTTGCAGTAAATAAAACACAACACTTCCCTCTTACTCCTATTGAAAATAAACAGAAAACTGTATATATTGCACCAAAAGAATTACTTCATAAGCATTTTTGTTTTAAAAAATATCACTGTTTGCTAAGCCTGACATTTAAAAATTGCACCCTAGATTAATGCTGAGTGTAAGTTTGCATAGTTTTAATAAAAAAAAATAAATCCAAAACCCTGCCAACCTTACAGAAACTAAAACATACTGCAATTAAGAAAAAAGCAGAAATGATATATTCCTGACTGCCTACCACTAATTTATATTTGTAAACATTTAGGACTGTGATCTGGGTTCATCATTTAAAATTTTATTTATTTGAAACTGTATTTTGAGGTTACCCAGTATGTTTTAAAGCATATTTAAAAGTACAACATATCAAAATGCCCCAATCACCTACTTTACCCTCTACACCATATGAAACAAACTGTATTTTTAAAAAATCAGAAAGTATCCCAGAAGAAAGTTAATACACTGTTTCAAAATATGGCATTTTTGAACTTCTAGGGGAAGAAGTATAAAGCAGCCTCTTTTATTTTATTGCTTGAACCTGATGATAACAATGTTAAGAGTCAGAACTCTTTCCGGTCAGAAGTTTAGAGAAATTGGGTAAAACTTTAAAAATCTCAAAACAGATTCCCATTACTTGTGGGTTCCTAGTGGCTGCTGGGGAGACAAACATTATCCCCGAAGGCATGTTTTATGTGCATTTTCAATACTCCATTGAAAAGTTTTCAAGTTTCAATTGATGTGCATTTTTCAATTTCAATTTTACATGTCAAGTAGAAAAGCTTGGCATGTAAAATGCTTCATACACTCACATTATTAACCATAATATTCTTATTCTTATTTGTAGAATCACTTCACTGGTTATTCATATAGGCACACAACCCATTATCTGTATTTAGTAGTAGTTTTGCTAGCAGCAGCAACAGCAGCATTCTCCTTTTCTGCCATTTTTCTCTTTCTACCTGGATGGCTTTTTATTGTATGAGTGGGGAACCTGTGGTCTTCCAAGCTGTTGTTGATTAGAAAATTTCCATTTCTTGAAGCAATGGTGGCTACAGCAGCTGGGGTTGCTGGGAACTGTGTATCAGCCACATCTGGAAAACCAAAAATTCCTCACTTCTGCTCCAAAATATGAGATTGAGAAAATGTTATTTTCCATGTAATCACTAAGAACCAGTTACAGTCAATAATTTTATCTACATTCAAGTTGTACTCTATTCCATAAGTGAGCTTGCCCTTTTAATGAACTGGTGTCTTTTTCAGAGTCTTCTCTACATGCACTTCTTTCTACGTCTTGCTGTAGGGAATAAAGGACAAACAGAATGTTAAACTATTGGGCTATTCTGCAAACTTAGCATAATAAATTATGTCATCATGGCATCGATGCAAAGCCCTCCCGACATGTTTCCCTCTGTATAGGGAAGAGATCCCTGCAACTTTATGGCTAAATCTTCCCTCCTTCCACACTGCTGGGATACATAAGGATAAGGCAAATGGCTCAGCTGATCATGATAAACTGGGTCCTATTATATTTCACAAATATTTACAAAAACTAGTGAAAATATTAAAAATTAAATGCCTACCAGAAGAGGATGCCTGGCCTCTAAGTATATTCACTGATGATGCTAAGGGGTCTCTCCAAAGAAAGCCCTTCGGAGAAGGGGGCTCTTTCCGTAATAGCCACCCGTTGCACCATTAACAGTTACGTAAGGATGTGCTCTTCTCCAAGGTCCTAGTGCACACTGAATTTAGGGTGATTTTGAAACAGCCAGGAAAGAGAAAGCTGTATAATTAAAGATGGGGTGTTAGCCAAACTACAGCATATTTAGTTGAAAGCCTTTAGGCAGCTGAAAGTTCTAACCTATTATTTTTAATTAAAAAACATTACATTAATTAGCTACCCAACTCCATTAGGACTTTTGGTGGTGCACAATATACAATATTTACAATCTGCCCAATGCAAGAGTACAAAAAGTGTCAGGAGAAACAGCTACATAATCACAAGGGGTCTGCCACCCACTCTAGCCCAAGGTCTAAGAAATGAGCAGCTCTTAAGGGCTTGTCTAAATAAGGTCAAGGTGGGGACTCTGGTGGGATGTCATTCCAGAGGGCAGCTGCTATGGCAGAGAAGGCCTGCTTCCTGAGTTCCATCGGATGGCACTGCTTAATCAAAGGGGCCCAGAGCATGCTGACTGCCAGAAGGTACAGGAGCAGATAGCAACTATGGAAGACAGGCACCCCCTTAAGTAACCAGACCCTATGTCGTAAAGGGCTTCATAGATGGCACCCAGCACCTTGAATTGCACCTGGAAGCATACTGGTAATCATTATGACTATTATAGGATTCTTTCTTAAGGAAAAAAAAAATTGACAAGATGTCTCTCTTGTTAACACATTGAATCCTGGAAAAATTTAAGCAGCTAAGGCACTGAAAATGTAGAAAAAAAGCAAAAAAAGCATCATTTACCCCACAACCATTTTGTTAGCTGCTCCCCAGTGAAATAGAAGATAAACATTATGCACATAGCAACGGAGAAAAATACCGCCTTTCCAAGTACGCCAAGCACTCCTAAAACCGGATAAGCCCAAATCCCAGCTACAAGATGTATCCACATTATCCTAAAACAAAGCAAGATAAGCATCATAATGAAACATAATGAGCCCAATATTTTAAATATTGCACCTATTTCTGTGGTTGCATGAAAATACTTCAGTTTGCTAAATTAAATGTTCTTAACTTTCCTATTTAAATCAATAGCACATAAAATGCTTGACTGACTACCTCAAAATGGGGAATCTGTTATCTTCCAAATGCTACCACTGAACTACATTTTCCAACTTCTCTTACCATAGTTAAAGATGGATTTGGGCTACTGGAAGTTGAAGTTCAGCAATATCTGAATACTACAGGTTCCTCAGTTTATGAGAGACTGAGGTGCCATGCTTAAGATAAATAAAAAAATGGTATTGAAACGACATATATTATTATTTATTTATTTATTAGATTTCTCTCCCGCCCATCTCCCCTACACTAGGGGACTCTGGGCGGGTTACAAAGACATTAAAACTATAAATATATATAAAATACATACC